AACTTTTTTACAGTGTGCTGCGTGTGTGGAATGAACTGCCAGAGGAAATGATAGATGCAGGTACAGTTACAATGTTTAAAAGACATGAATTGGAAAGGTTTGGAGGGCTATGAGTTGAATGCAGGCAGGTAGGTATAATTTAGTTTGAGAAAACGGTCAGCATGGACTGTTTTGACCAAAGGGTCTGTTTCCATGCTGTACGACTCTATGACTCTAATTCATCCAGACCAGAGGGTCTACACACAGAATTCTGAAACAGACAGCTGAGGACGTCACAGAGGCATTGGTGTGATTTTTCAGGAATCACTGGAGCCAGGGAGGGCCCCAGAGGACTAAAAATTGACTCATATTTAAGAAGGGAGGGTGGCAGAAGAAAGGAAACTAAAGGCCAGTCAGGCCTACCTTGGTCATCGGTGAGATTTTAGAGTCCATTATGAACGATAAGATTGCGCAGTACTTGTAAGTGCGTGGTAAAATAGTGCTGAGTCAGCACAATTTCGTCAAGGTGAGGTCATGCCTGACAAATCTGTTAGACTTCTTTGAGGAGATAACGAGCTAGTGAGACAAAGAAGAGCTAGTGGATGTGATCCATTTGGATTTCCAGAAAGTCTTTGACAAGATGCCGCATAGAAGACTTCAAAATAAGATGAGCCTCATGATGTTAGATGTAAGGTACTGGTAGAAGATTGGCTGACTGGCAGAAGGCAGAGAGTAGGGATAAAGGGGTCTTTGACAGATTGGTGGTCGGTAACTAGTGGAGTTCCGCAGGGGTCAGTGTTGGGACCACAACTATTTGCGTTGTACATTAACGATCCGGATCAAGGAACTGAGGGCATTGTTGCTAAGTTTGTAGATGACACAAAGACAGATGGAGGGACAGGTAGTGTTGAGAAGTGGGGAGACTGCTAAAGGACATGGATGAGCTAGGAGAGTGGACAAAGAAGTGGCATGTGAAATACAATGTAAGAAAGTATGAGGTTATGCACTTTGATAGGAAGAATTGAAGTGGACTATTTTCTAAATGGGGAAAGGCTTCAGAAATGTGGAGTGCAAAGGGACTTCGGAGTCCTATTTCAGATTTCTTTTAACATTAACATGCAGCTTCAGTTGGTCGTCAGGAAGGCAAATGCACTGTTAACATTCATTTCAAGACAGGTAGAATGTAAGAGCAGAAATGTACTATTGAGGCTGTATAATGCTCTGGTCAGACCAGATTTGGAATACTGTGAGTAGTTTTGGGCCCAGTATCTAAGGGAGTATGAGCTGGCTTGACAGGGGTTCCAGAGGAGGTTTACAAAATATGATGCTGGGGATAAAGGGCTTGTCATAAGAGGAGTGGTTGAGGACTCAATGAGTTTCAAAGGATGAATCACAGCATAGAATCCCTACGATGTGGAAGTAAATCATTTGACCCATCGAATCCACACCAACCCTCCAAAAAGCATCCCACCCAGACCCAACCCCTACCCTATCCCTGCATTCTCCATGGCAAATCCACTGAGGCTGCACATCTTTGGTTTGTGGGAGGAATCCGGAACATCTGGAGGAAGTCCAGACAGACATTGGGAGAATGTGCAAATTCCACACAGAATGTCACCCGAGGATAGAATCAAGTCTGACTCCCTGGCACTGTGAGGCAGCGGTGCTAAGCACTGAGTCACCATGAGGGGATACCTGATAGAAATTTACAGAATACTGAGATGCCTGGATACAGTGGACATACAGAAGATGTTTCCACTCATAGGTGACTAGGACCCGGGGGGACACAGTCTCAGAGTGAAGGGAACGACCCTTTAACACTGAGATAAGGACGAATTCCTTCAGCCAAACAGTGGTTAATCTTTGGAACTACTGTTGCAAAGGATTGTGGAGGCGAAGTCAATGAGGATGTTTAAGAGGAGTGAAATAGGTCCTTGGTTGGAAGGGATCAAGGGTTCCAGGGAGAATGCAGGAGAATGGGGTTGAGAAACATATTAATCCATGATCAAACAGCAGAACAGATTCTTTGTTATTTTCTATAACCCCTTCAGAATCTGAAAATTTGTCACGTATCCCAAGCAACACTGAAGAGTGCACCTAATCAGTTCTGTTCCCATACTGTAAACTTGTTTTTCAATCTTAACAAATAATCTTCCCCAGGCCTCTCCTTTCTTTAAGCTCCTCTCTGTTATGTCTCACCAATTCAGATTGGTTTCCGATGACTTTTCCTCATATTTTAAAGCTAGCCAAATCCTTTTGGAGACTTTGGCTTTAATTAAAGCTTTTCTGTCTGAACGTAATGCTTTCAATTCAAGTGCTGTAAACAAGCTACTTCCCAAGCTGAGAGCTGATCATTTATTAGTGATGGGACTTTAGGATTCCGACCAAGAACTAACTGATATTGAATATATCACCCAACTATCTGCAACAAATTCTTAACATGAACAGTCCATACAAATATAGATTATAATTCACAATTTGGCTGATCTACCAACATTTGATAAACCATTCTGTTACTGCATGGTTCCTTATACAAACGCCATCGCTAGAAGTCTTTTTTTTGCTCCCATATTCATGACTGTTATATTCGTATTCTCAAACATATCTCTAAATTTATCAGTAGCAAATTCCCCACCATGAACTACGAGAAATACTATCAGTGGCTTAAATTTGAACCCTATGCAATTTTCTAATACTGCAATTATTTTTTCTTTATGAGTTATTACTGTTGACTAACAAAATCCAGTTGCCAAATCTAAATAAAATGAGAAGTGTTTTTTTCCCTTTATTCCAGGCTTTAAATCCACAACACACAAAAACAGAAATTGCTGGAGAAACTCAGCAGGTCTGGCAGCATCTGTGTAGAGAAAACAGAGTTAACAGTTCTTATTTAATTTCCTTAAATCCATTGCCATCTAGTTGAAATCTCTTACTGAGGCCGGGCTTACTATGATCTGTGATGATGGCCTTTGATCTTTCCTATAAATCTGATATCTTTCACTTACCTCTTCTGTGAGCTTATTGAACTATACATCTCTTAATCCTGCATCCTTTATAAAAAAAAGTTTAACTTTTTGAATGACGAATGGATAAATTCCCAATACAATTTTAATACAGTTAACTTTTTATCTTCTAAATTTCTACCCAGTGATTCAATAACACTATTTTAATTTTTTTGGGAGAGGTTATGTTCCATTGAAGGAATACAAATATGTCTTGATTCAGAGTTTCCAAACACAACATCTTTATTGTTTTCCATATTTATTTTCATCCATGCTTTCCTCACTTCAGGCCTGCTTAATGACGAAGTTATTTCAATAGACACTACATTCGGATGAATAAAATGATTGATTCTGGCTATTTTAAAAGGACTGACCGCTCTTCAAATATTTTTGCATGTTCTCATCTCCAAATCCGAAACTGATGGAACTCTCAAATTCCTAAAACTTTGTCCCAAACCTTATTAATCGGACTGTGTCAGTGGCAATTTAGCCAGTCTTTTCCACACACTGTGGATGTGCATCCACTGTCTAGTGCTACACAATTAAGACTGCCACCAACACATTCTTCAATGGGATGAAACTTCTTTTGACCAATATAATGCCATCTTTTTGTTGTGTATCTCTGTCTTCTTCTTCTACATCTTTTGGTCCATCTCTAGTTTTGAATATTCTATTATACCATTTGGGACAGTTCATGGCATAATGGTATTTTGAATCGCACCTGAAACATTGATTGATTACACTTTGATTTTTTTTGATTCATTCTCTTGTTATATGTCCCAAATTCTCTTCACTTCTGAAAGTTACCGAAAGAATTTTGATCCTCATTTCTTTTAGTTACAGTTCGCCTTTTGTACTTACGTATGTCATCTGCATGTAGATGGCCTCACTGAGGTTCTTGAGTAGTTCTGTAGCTTGGGTTGTGGACACTGTGGTTGGTTCGCTCAACGAGCTGGTTCATTAGTTCGTAGACGTTTCAATTCCGTGCTGGGTAACATCATCAGTGCAGCCTCCGATGAAACACTGTTGTGTTTTCCTGCCTGGTATTTAAATCTGGGGTCTGTTGGATTTGATTACCTCATTTCCGGTCTTCCTTCACAGTGGTGTATATATAGGGTCTAATTCTATGTGCCTGTTGATGGCCTTCTTGGTGGAGAACCAGGCCTCGAGAAATTCCCATGCTTGTCTTGTCTTTGTCTCACTAATTCGTTAACATTGTGTCCTCCATTTTCTGTTGTATTGCTAGTTGCCCCTTTTGCACTACAAATGTTGTTGGAATAGAATGCTTTCATGGGAATTCTTTTAGTGCTTCTGATATTTGTTCTGGCAATATATACTTATCTGCAAGTAACTCCTGTCAAAACTAGAAGTCTGTTTATACTTGATACTTTGGCACATCTAAAACTTAAATGCCAGCATGTGTTAGGGAATTTGCTGATTGAATTTCTGTAGTCTTATATGCAATCAACTGAATTCCATTGTGCAATCTTCCTTGGTACTATGTCCAGTCCTAAATTTCTCACAATATAACTGTTCCTCATTAGCAGTCAATAACTCATCTTTTTGATACTTTTTCTCCATGAAAGTTAGCAATCTGTCCAAACCTTCATCTGTGTTTAAGCCATTCTGAATTCCGAAATAAACAGCTTCTAAGGTCTACTCTTTGTTAGGGGAGTAACCTGGGCCCATATGGTTACTTGTATGTTTATAAATGGTTTCTCCAGCAATTTCTGTTTTTGTTTGTTCTATGTGGTTTCTTCATTCTTCCACTGAACATAAGGTTCATTCTCAGAAAACAAGGGAGGACAATTATACTCTGAAACTTTACATTTTGACTCAGCTATTCTCTGCTACAAATGTTATTTCCGAGAAGATAATTGTAGTTAAACAGAATCCAATCCACTCTTTAAGTGACAACTTTATTTCAGTTAAGCACACTCGTTCCCCATATTTATGTAACACTTCACACCCAATTATTCCTTAATCGATATATTCCTCATTGTTCCCTTATTACATTAGGTCTCCAGCATCCCTTCAGACCAGATCAGATGATAACTTTCAGTTGTTTCAGCGGCGGGAGTCCGGGAGGAAGCGCGAGGGCAGCCTGGGAAGGTAAGCTTCCACCCAATAAATTTGGGAGTTAACTAATACCCGAGACACTACACGCGTAGTGTCTCCCACCCTTCCACCTCCTCTAACTTAATAATAACGACTAAGTGTGGTGAGCAGGTAAGCTATTTGCATTTTTTTTTCCTCATCTCTTTGTTATCTTTCCGGGTGGTCATCTAGACGCCAAATCCTCTGGGAGCGGGTCAGAAGGCAAAGCCGGAGTCTGCTTGAGTATATAACAGAGTAAACTTACTGGTGCAGCGAACACTGCGAAACCAAAAAAAAACTAATTCATTTTAAATAATTAACTAAGTAGAGATGGCAGGCCAGGTGATGTGTTGCAGCTGTATGATGTGGGAGCCAGCTGATCCCATTGAGAACGGCAGTGACCACATCTGCAGCAAGTGTTGGCTGCTTGAGGAGCTCCGGCTCAAAATTGATGGGCTGGAATCCGAACTCCAAACACTGCTGCACATCCGGGAGGGGGAGAAATACCTGGATACTGTGTTCCAGGAGGCAGTCACACCTGGTAGATTAATTAATGTTAATTCGATCGGCGGGCAGGGACAGCAGTGTGTGACTGCAAGTGAGGCAGGTAGAGGGATCCTGCAGACAGGAACATGGGAGCCGCAGCCCTTGACATTGTCCCACAGGTATGAGGCACTTGCTCCCTGCATGGATGAGGAACAGGGCTGCAGGAAGGATGAGTCAACTGACCATGGCACCATGGTCCAGAAGGCCATTCAAGAGGGGGGAGCAAAAAGACAGATTACAGTTGTAGGGGATTCCATCATCAGGGGGATAGACAGTATCCTTTGCGAGCAGGATAGAGAATCCCGCATGGTGTGTTGCCTGCCCGGTGCCAGGGTGCGAGACATCTCTGACTGGCTTGAGAGGATACTAGAGAGGGAGGGGGAGGATCCAGTTGTTGTGGTCCACGAAGGTACCAACAACATAAGCAGGACGAGGAAAAAAGACCTGTTTCGGGATTATGAAAAGCTAGGAACAAAATTAAAAAACAGGTCTTCAAGGGTCATAATCTCTGGAGTGCTGCCCGAGCCACGTGCAAATTGGCATAGAGAGGCGAAGATCAGGGAAGTAAACACGTGGCTAAAAGAGTGGTGTGGGAAAGAGGGTTTCCTTTTCATGGGGCACTGGCATCAGTTCTGGGACAGGAGGGATCTATACCGCTGGGATGGACTCTACCTGAACAGGGCCGGGTCCAGTGTTCTGGCGAAAAGGGTAAATAGGGTGGTTAATAGGACTTTAAACTAGTAAGTAGGGGGGAAGGGAGAAGTGAGTGTAGAGGGAGAATAACAATTAATATAAGGCAAAGCAGCAGGTTAGCAGGTGACGAGGAAGCTTCAACTCCATTGAAAATTAGGAAAAAAGTTAAAAGGAAGGAGAACTCAAGAGTTGTTAGTAATGGAGGTAATAGGACCCAAAAAGAAGGTGCAAAAACTGGCATAAGGGCACTTTATCTGAAAGCTTCGAAACAAGGTGGATGAGTTGACGGTGCAAATCATGGCAAATGGGTATGATTTAGTGGCCATTACAGAGACATGGTTACAGGATGGTCATGACTGGGAGTTAAATATCCAGGGGTATCAAACTGTTCGGAAGGACAGACAGGAAGGTAAGGGAGGTGGTGTTGCTCTGATTTTTAAGGATGATATCAGGGCAGTAGTGAGAGATGATACAGGTTCTACTAAACAAAACGTTGAATCCATTTGGGTGGAAATTAGGAACAGCAGGGAGAAGAAGTCACTGATAGGTATGGTCACCAAATAATGACATCGTGGTGGGGCGGGCAATAAACGTAGAAATAGCTAATGCATGTAAAAATGGTACAACAATTATCATGGGGGATTTTAATCTACATATCGATGGTCAAACCAGGTCGGTCATGGCAGCCTTGAGGAGGGATTCATAGAATGCATCCGCAATAATTTCCTTGAACAATATGTAATGGAACCTACGAGGGAGCAAGCTATCCTAGATCTAGTCCTGTGTAATGAGACAGGAATAATTAATGATCTCACAGTTAGGGATCCTCTCAGAAGGAGCGATTACAGTATGGTCAAATTTAAAATACAGATGGAGTGTGAGAAGGTTAAATCCAGTACCTATGTCCTGTGCTTAAACAAAGGAGACTATGAAGGAATGAAGAAGGAGTTAGCTAAGGTAAAATGGGAGCAAAAGCTTTATGGCGGGTCAATTGAGGAACAGTGGAGGACTTTCAAAACGATTTTTCACAGTGCTCAGCAAAAGTATATTCCAGTGATAAGGAAGAACTGTAGGAAAAGAGAGAGCCAGCCATGGATGTCTAAGGAAATAAAAGAAAGTATCAGATTGAAAAAAAAAACATACAAAAAAGCAAAGAGTAGTGGTAAACTAGTAGACTGGGAAATCTTTAAAGGCCAACGGAAAGCCACAAAAAAAGTTATAAAGAAAAGTAAGATAGATTATTAGAGTAAACTAGCTCAGAATATAAAAACAGGCAGCAAAAGTTGCTATAAATATGTAAATCGTAAAAGAGTGGCGAAGGTAAACATTGGTCCTTTAGAGGATGAGAAGGCCAATTTAATAACTGGGAATGAGGAAATAGCCGAGACATTAAACAGTTACTTCGTGTCGGTCTTCACAGTGGAAGACACAAATAACATGCCAAAAACTAATAGCAAGAAGGTTATAGCAGGTGAGGACCTAGAAACTATCATTATCACTAAGGAGGCAGTGCTGGGCAAGCTGATGATCTTGTATGTCTCTATCAAGTCACCTCTTAACCTTCTTCTCTCTAACAAAAACAGCCTCAAAACCCTCAGCCTTTCCTCATAAGACCTTCCCTCCATACCAGGCAACATCCTGGTAAATCTCCTCTGCACCCTTTCCAATGCTTCCACATCCTTCCTATAATGCGGTGACCAGAACTGTACGCAATACTCCAAGTGCGGCCGCACCAGAGTTTTGTACAGCTGCAACATGACCTCATGGCTCCGAAACTCAATCCCTCTACCAATAAAACCTAACATACTGTACGCCTTCTTAACAACGCTATCAACCTGGGTGGCAACTTTCAGTGATCTATGCACATGGACACCGAGATCTTTCTGCTCATCCACACTACCAAGAATCTTACCATTAGCCCAGTACTCTGTATTCCTGTTACTCCTTCCAAAGTGAATCACCTCACACTTTTCTGCATTAAACTCCATTTGCCACCTCTCAGCCCAGCTCTGCAGCTTATCTATGTCCCTCTGTAACCTGCAACATCCTTCCACTATCCACAACTCCACCGACTTTGTTGTCATCCGCAAATTTACTAACCCATCCTTCTACACCCTCATCCAGGTCATTTATAAAAATGACAAACAGCAGTGGCCCCAAAACAGATCCTTGAGGTACACCACTAGTAACTGAACTCCAGGATGAACATTTCCCATCAACCACCACCCTCTGTCTTCTTACAGCTAGCCAATTTCTGATCCAAACCGCTAAATCACCCTCAATCCCATGCCTCCGTAGTTTCTGCAATAGCCTACCATGGGGAACCTTATCAAACGCTTTACTGAAATCCAAATACACCACATCAACCGCTTTACCCTCATCCACCTGTTTGGTCACCTTCTCGAAGAACTCAATAAGGTTTGTGAGCCACGACCTACCCTTCACAAAACCGTGTTGACTATCCCTAATCAAATTATTCCTTTCTAGATGATTATAAATCCTATCTCTAATAATCCTTTCCAACACTTTACCCACAACCGAAGTAAGGCTCACTGGTCCATAATTACCAAGGTTGTCTCTACTCCCCTTCTTGAACAAGGGGACAACATTTGCTAGTCTCCAGTCTTCTGGCACTATTCCTGAAGACAATGACGACATAAAGATCAAAGCCAAAGGCTCTGCAATCTCCTCTCTAGCTTCCCAGAGAATCCTAGGATAAATCCCATCCGGCCCAGGGGACTTATCTATTTTCACACCTTCCAGAATTGCTAACACCTCCTCCTTATGAACCTCAATCCCGTCTAGTCTAATAGACTGTATCTCAGTATTCTCCTCGACTACATTGTCTTTTTCCTGTGTGAATACTGACGAAAAATATTCATTTAGCACCTCTCCTATCTCTTCGGACTCCACGCACAACTTCCCACTACTGTCCTTGACCGGCCCCAATCTTACGCTAGTCATTCTTTTATTCCTGACATACCTATAGAAAGCTTTAGGGTTTTCCTTGATCCTACCTGCTAAAGACTTCTCATGTCCCCTCCTGGCTCTTCTTAGCTCTCTCTTTAGGTCCTTCCTTGCTAACTTGTAACTCTCAAGCGCCCTCACTGAGCCTTCACGCCTCATCTCTACATAAGCCTCCTTCTTCCTCTTGACAAGAAATTCAACTTAAGGACAGTGGGAGCCTTTTTCCTCGGATGGTGATGGCTAGCACGAGGGGACATAGCTTTAAATTGAGGGGTGATAGATATAGGACAGATGTCAGAGGTAGGTTCTTTACTTAGAGAGTAGTAAGGGCGTGGAATGCCCTGCCTGCAAAAATAGTAGACTCGCCCACTTTAAGGGCATTTAAATGGTCATTGGATAAACATATGGATGATAATGGAATAGTTTAGGTTAGATGGGCTTCAGATTGGTTTCACAGGTCGGCACAACATCGAGGGCCGAAGGGCCTGTACTGCGCTGTAATGTTCTATGTTCTATGTTCTATGTTCTATGTTCTAAAGGTAGACAAGTCTCCTGGCCCTGATGAAATGCATCCCAGGATACTAAAAGAGGTGATGGTGGAAATAGCAAATGCACTAGTAATTATTTACCAAAATTCACTGGACTCTGGGGTGGTTCCCGCAGATTGGAAAACAGCCAATGTGACGCCACTGTTTAAAAAAGGAAGTAGACAAAAAGCAGGTAACTATAGGCCAGTTAGCTTAACTTCGGCAGTGGGGAAAATGCTTGAATCTATCATTAAGGAAGAAATAGCAAGACATCTGGATATAAATTGTCCCATTGGGAACACCCAGCATGGATTCATGAAGGGTAGGTCATGTTTAACTAATTTGGTGGAATTCTTTGAGGACATTACTTGCATGGTGGACAATGGGGAACCTGTGGGTGTGGTGTATCTGGATTTCCAGAAGGCATTTGACAAGGTGCCACACCAAAGGCTGCTACACAAGATAAAGTTGCACGGTATTACAGATAATGTATTGGCATGGATAGAGGATTGGTTGACAAATAGAAAGCAAAGAGTAGGGGTAAATGGGTGTTTTTCTGGTTGGCGGTCAGTGGCTAGTGGTGTGCCTCAGGGATCAGTGTTGGGACCTCAATTGTTTACAATTTACATAGATGATTTGGAGTTGGGGACTAAGTGTGGTGTGTCAAAATTTGCAGATGACACTAATGTGAGTGGTAGAGCAAAGTGTGCAGAAGACACTGAAAGTCTGCAGAGGGATATAGATAGTCTGAGTGAGTGGGCAAAGGTCTGGCAGATGGAGTACAATGTTGATAAGTGTGAGGTCATCCATTTTGGTAGGAATAACAGCAAAATGGACTATGTTTTAAATGGTAAAAAATTGCAGCACGCTGCTGTGCAGGGGGACTTGGGTGTCCTTGTGCATGAATCGCTTAAGGTGGGATTGCAGGTACAGCAGGTGATTAAAAAGACAAATGGAATTTTGTCTGCCATTGCTCGAGGTATGGAGTTTAAAAACAGGGAGGCTACGCTGCAGCTGTATAGGGTCCTGGTGAGGCCACACCTGGAGTACTGTGTGCAGTTTTGGTCTCCTTACTTGAGAAGAGATATACTAGCACTGGAGGGGGTGCAGAGGAGATTCACTCGGTTGATTCCAGAGTTGAGAGGGTTGGATTATGAAGAGAGACTGAGTAGACTGGGATTATACTCATTGGAATTCAGAAGAATGAGGGGAGATCTTATAGAAACATATAAGATTATGAAGGGAATAGATAAAGTGGAGGCAGGGAGGTTGTTTCCGCTAGCAGGTGAAACTAGGACTAGAGGGCATCGCCTCAAAATAAAGGGAAGCAGATGTAGGACTGAGGTCGGGAGGAACTTCTTCACCCAAAGGGTTGTGAATCTGTGGAGTTCCCTGCCCAGTGAATTGGTTGAAGCTACCTCACTTAATGTTTTTAAGGCAAGGCTAGATAAATTTTTGAACAGTAAAGGAATTAAGGGTTATGGTGAGCGGGCGGGTAAGTGGAGCTGGGTCTCAAAGATCAGCCATGATCTTATTAAATGGTGGGGCAGGCTCGAGGGGCCAGATGGCCTACTCCTGCTCCTAGTTCTTATGTTCTTATAACAAGTTGATGCCAAAATGAACATTTCTATCACCGCGTTTCAAACAGCTGTGTGTGATTTTTCAAATGGCACGGTGATCTGTATCTACTATATAAATTTTATGCTGGCAACACAGAATTAACACTTCAATTTTTGGAGGCATTTTCTTAGCTGACAATTAACAATAGTCCTGAGTGATCTCAAGGACAAGGACCAATTCCACCTCCCAGAAACACCTGCCAAACATGTGGCCAGAGCTGTGACTCTAGGATTGGGCTCATTGCTCATGCAAGGACCCATAGATCCCATGACCAATGACATGGAATTTCCTAGGTGGACAATCAATCATACTGGTTAGCAAGTTATTAATGACAACTAAGAGCCAGATAAAACAGTAAAACAAAGTTCTTTCACTGAAAGTGTCATTACGCACTAATTACTGGGCAGCCATCCCTGTCCAAAACAGAAACAGATTTTTTGATGTTACGGCAATTGTGAAATCTAAAATAGCAAATTTTTTTACTTGTTATTCCGTCTCCAATTCATTTGAATGTAAGCATTAAGCTTGCTGTTAAAATCACAATTTAACAAGTGCATTAACAAAACTAAAATGGACAACTGAAATGTACCTTTTTGCTGGTTGTAAAGTCTTTTACTGAAAGATATTTTTGCATTCAAGGTTGACCCTTCAATGCAGTACTGATGGTGATCTGCACAGTCAGGAGATGTCTACTTCTGAATGAGATCTTCAACCAAGGTACTATTCTGTTCTCTCAAATGGATATAAACGATCCCATGTAGACAAACAGGAGGCTGGAAGAACACAGCAGGCCAGGCAGCATCTGGAGGAAAGGAACAGTCAATGTTTCGGGTATGACCCTTCTTCCAGACTGGATGTGGGGGCAGGGGGAGCTGCAAATAAAGTAGGGAGAAAGGGTGGAGGCAGAATGACGGTGATAGGTGGACACTGGTGGTAGGTACAAACTGGTTGGTCGATGGGAGGGATGAATCCGGTTGGTGCCTGGAGGGGAGGGTCAGAAGATGAAATGGAAAGGTGAAGGTGGGGCTGGAAGGGGAGGCGGGGGACAGGTGGCAAAGTTATTTGAAATTGGGGAACTCAATGCTGAGTACTCCGGGCTGCAGGGTGCCCAAGTTCTCCAAGTTCTTCCTGTTTGTCTACCTTGGATTCCAATTCTTTTGTCTCATAAAAGATCCCATCCCAGGTGTCTTGGTCAATATTGAACCCTCAATCAACAAAACTAAATCTAGTCCTTATTTTGTTATTTGTTGGACCTTGTTATTTGTAAATTAGATGCACTGTTTCGTACATTACAATAATTAATTGACTGAAGAATGCTTTGGGACATCGTGAGATCATGAAAGCTCTATATATATAAATGCGAATCTTTCTTTCAAATATGAATCATAATTTTACTTTATATTTGGATTGTAAACAATTATTATACTTCCTTTGATATTATTGAGTGTCCAAATGCAATAACGTTACCTATTGTTAACTAATGTTTCTCCAAATAACTTTCTTTGCTTGTAATCCTGCCTATTCCTATATAATTACTCTTCAGTATTACTCCTATAACTGATTAATGTGTAAAAGCAAATATTAAAGTTGAAAATTTTGACGAAACAAGAAGAAAATGGAGTGAACATTAAAATTTCACTATAATTCTAGCCTTTATATCTACACAAGAAAGCAGAAGGACATCAAGTAACAAAACTGAAACAATAAGATAAAGTATCCATTGTTTTAACAAAGTTTGCAGATTAACTTTAAACAGGCATTGTGTGAAAATGGAAAATGTGGGAGTTCGTTGTGTAAAACAACCGACAGCAGTCTTTCATTTTAAACTATTTTCCAAATACTGGTTAAGTCCAGTTGGAAGTTCCTCAATCTAACATCCCAAAATTACACCAATATTCATTTCAGTTTCTTCAGCAATTAAAAATAAAGTAAATAGAAATCAGCAGAAATAATTATGCAAGTGTAGAACCTTAGGTCAGAAGTTCCCAACGCATGTAATATATACCAAAACGCTCTCAATCTCTCAGCCCATGCATATAAACTTAGAGCCTGTGCAGACAGCTCCATGAGATGTTTTGGACGTCATACTAAATTATTTAAGCCAGCTGTAGTTCTTTGGGAGAAAGTAGGAAGGTCCTTAGTGAGAACAAAAGTGTACATTTTGAATGAGGATTGTGATGATGATTCATGATGTTTCATTTTATTGTTATTATTATGATTTGGAAAATTCAGGTCTAAAGTGGACAGAACCATGTATAGCTTAAGTTTGATTTGTATTTCTATTTTTTTTGTTCAGAAGGATGAAAACAAAGTTTTATTTCATTTTAGATTTTGAGGTCCATGGGTAGTGCTGGATTGTCCACAGTTTATTTACTTGAAATAAAGGCATTTTTTAAAAATCCTTTAGGTGAATAAGTCAGTGTTCCAGAAAGCATGGGTAGAAGATTTTTAAAAATTTGGCTGTTATATCGCAACAATGTGTCCTATGAGTAAAGGAGGCAGAGACAGGAACAAGTCTCACAGAATCATAGAGTCAGCACAAACAAAGAAGGACCCATCAAGTAGGTCAGTGAGTGTGCAAGTTTCTTTCAGAGACTGGAACAAGTCAGAAAGAATATCCCTGTATCAGCGGCAGTACAGTTTAGCAGTCTCCAACATGATCAGCATTCAGTAAACTGAGACTGCACTGACCTTGGTGACAACCTCAGATCAGGTTGGCATCATCTGGTATTGTGGCCTCCACTGCTGGTCCTGGGGAAGAGCAAGTCCCAGGGCTGCACCACCCATTCAATTTAATCTCTCGGTCTGTTTGCCACATCCAGAGCAAATATCAGGAACCATGCACAGCAGCTACAGACTGATGACACTTCTCTGGGTGCACGTTGGGCTTTTAAAGATGGCACAAATGCTAGGGAAGCTGGTGTGTTCTCAGATATCCACTGAGTGGCAGGTTGATATAGGAACAACTTGAGGTAAGATGGGACCAGAATCAGACAGAAGGATGCCATGGTGCTGGGCAAATCATTAATGAGTCTTTTGTAAGAAAACACACTGGGCCTCAGGGCAGAATTCTCTCCAAAAAACTCGACAAAACTCAAACATATTCAAAAGAAATATAAGATTCGTCTCTATGCATCAGTATTGTTACTTTTCTCTGGAGAATAATTAAGAGCTTCTCTGGACTTTATCAAATCAAAATGAAAATCAATGATGTGAATGACGTAGTAAGGCCTATAGACAGGAGGAAAAACTCAGCAAGTGTGCCAAGTGTTATGGTCTCAGCTAATGGTACTACCGGACAAGCCAGGTCCCAGAATGAGACCTGGCTTGATAGATTACACTTAATTTTTTTGTTGCTCACTCAGTTAACATAGTGTTAGTCACTGAAACACATCATGTTAGTTACAAAGAATGTAAGTTTATTACGCAAAATACAAGCTTAACAACATTTATGTATACTGCAGTTGGAAAGATCTTAACATGCCACGTTTGTTTTTTGTACATATGATCAAATGTTTGTCACATTTCACTTTGTTTCCCAACACTATCCATTATAGAGGCTAGGTCCAGAGAAATTGTATTCCTGTCTCAACTCTTTAAGTTTCTACTTAACTGACTCCTTCCAGTTTCTCTTTTGTGAATTGTAAAGACAACTTTACAATTCCCCTTCAAGTCTGATGGCATGAACCTTTCACAATTCTAATCACATAAACTTTTTCCAGTTCTAACAACAAAGCTCTCCTGGCTTGAAATCTTCACAAACCAGAACAAATTAAAATACTGCTACTACTGTGATTAGTTTCCCTTGAACTGGAGTGCACTCTGCTAAGTCAGAACTAAAACTCTGGTGTTTTCTGAAATGAACTGAAAACAAAACTAATGCCTTAATATGTTTACACAGCCTCCCATAAACTCAAAGGTAGAAGCATCTTATTCTATTGACTAGATTTGTTCCAGATTGATTTTTCTGACCTTTCCTGAAAAAGTCTTCACAGCACTAACCCATATCTATTTGCCTACTTTATTTGAAACAAGACAAATACACATCTTTCATTATACATGTTAAAATGTTACTATGACAGAGAGGATACACAGGACAGAAGTGTACTTAAGAGTGATAAAATAAATCAAGTGAAATAAAAATCAGAGCAATTCAAGGCTGAATCAAAACTTGAAAATTCCAAAGTTGATATTCCAGTAATAATTTTGTATAATACTGAAGTGCTTGAAAAGTTAGATTGAATGTTACGCTATCTCCCAGAAAATTATCTCACTGTCTTTCGAAAGATGTTGCAACTTATCATGCCTTGACACTCTACAATCAAGCATCATTACCTCATGCCAATCTGCTGCTTTTTTCTCCATACCCTTTTTGAATGCCTTAACTGAACATACCTCCACCGCATTTCTAACTAAATACAGCTGTGCTCACTGAGCAAGGAACTTTAAAGTGGAAACAAGATGACCTTTCACTGAGGTTTGAATACCTAAGGCTGCTATTGAGTTTAAAAGGGTTGAATCTTTATTTATGATATTTGTAACAAGACTATGCCAAATAGTTGATATATAGTGTAAATATCGTTTGTGTGATTTCCTTTTTAATTTAACAAGAATTGATGTTCTTTCATTAGGAGTACATTGGAAGTCTTTGGAAATGTAATGTGGCTGATTACGACGGTAAACATAAACAAAAACCAAAAGAGCTGCGGATGCTGTAAATCAGGAACAAAAACAAAGTTGCTGGAAAAGCTCAGCAGGTCTGGCAGCATCTGTGAAGGAAAAAACAGAGTTAACGTTTCGGGTCCGGTGACCCTTCCTCAGAACAGGTTCTGTTTTCTGTTAACTCTGTTTTCTCCTTCACAGATGCTGCCAGACCTGCTGAGCTTTTCCAGCAACTTTGTTTTTGACCATGGTAAACATATTGCATAAAGTTAGCCTTATGGTCTATAAAGCCAAATTTCACTGTGGGATCTGACTTGTCCAGTGTTACTATCAGCGAGGCTGAGAACAGTTTGCTCTGTAAAAACATTCATTCCAAAATGTGAGCTGCATGCTAATTCATAAATGAATAAGAATACATGACTGATTAGAAATATGAAGACATATCCCAATTGTTCTCTCTTCTTACTCTTTTCGCTCACTGACCATCTTCCCTCTTTATTTATAATTAAGTGGGGTGAATTCAATGCAAATATTCTTGACTGTGAGCTTTTATAACATATAAATAACAAAAATAAGCATCTCATAATAAGTGTTCAGATAATTCTCTAAGTCCGCAAGTCATTGGAGGAGAAGAAGGCAGTTAAAGTCTGCTCTACTATTCAACAAGAAATGGATGATCTGATCCTCAATCCACTTTCCTGCTGTTTCCCCATAACACTTGATTCCTTTACTGATTAAAAATCTGACTATCTCAGCCATAAATTTACTTAACAACACAGTCTCAATAGCCCTCTGTGAGAAAGAATTCCACAGATTCACTCCCCATGGACAGGATAAATTCCTCCTCATCTGTGCCTTAAATGTAAAGCCCCTTATTCAGAGATCACGTCCTCTGGTCCTAGACTCTCCCACAAAGGGAGAAGAATTATTCCATTTATAATTCTAAGGATAGCATTTTTAACAAAACTTGGTTATCTACTTACACTGGAATTACAAATATTTTATAATTTTGAAATGTTAAAGGTGCATCATATTTATGATTAAGGATTAGTATA